TCTGCATGCATACATGGCCTGTTGTTATTTGATCAGTATGATAGAATCAACAAATTAAAAGGTGGACACAATTCCAAAAGCAAACATCTACTCTAGCTATAGTCAGAAAAGACCAAAGTTGCTACTCCTGTACATGCCTGTGTGGACTACTCTGGTCTAATTAATATGGCAGGTGTGTCTGTGTGAGAGGGGAATTGGATTAACAACTAACTAGTTCTGAAATGCAGACAAGCCCAGGTTTTTCTTTGTCTCAATTTGGATCATAGCTATTTTGGGGTGGGGGAACATATCAAAACACAGTATTTCATAAGAAGCACTGCACAGATGTGTATAGTGGCTTACGTAGTTTGTACAGGGTTTCCCAAATCAGCAGTATGAGCATACTGGATGCAGAGTAAATGTTCAGTTGGTAAGCAGCTAAAATTGAGAGTTGGGACAGCTGAAAGCAAATTTAAGCGGAGTGTACCACCTTGTGGCTAGACTGTATACTGCAACCCTTCCAAGAAGCTGCCCTATGGTGTGGACCTTTGCTATCTATCTATCTATCTATCTATCTATCTATCTATCTATCTATCTATCTAATCTATTTCATTGATATTCCATTTTTCACTCCAAGGAGCAGACAGTGGCATACATGATTCTCCCATTCCTCATTTAATCCCCACAACAACCCTGTGAGGTAGGTTAGGCTGAGAGGCAGTGACTTACTGGTTGGTTGGTTGGCTGGTTGGCTGGTTGGGTGGCTAGCTGCCAACCAAGCCCTCTTCCAGGACACTCCATTCCACCCCCTTCCCCACTTTCTCCATTTACCCAGCCCCACTTCTCAACAGGCAGTTAGCAATCTGTGGCCACTAAGCATGCTCAGTCCTCAGTGAATTCTTTGGGGGCTCCCCTGTCTTAAGGATTGATTGATTGATCAATCAATCAATCAATCAATCAATCAATACCATGGTCTTCCCCCAAGCCTGTTGATACCTTCCTTTTGTGCCTGGGTTGAGCCATTTTGGCTGCCTAAGGATCCATGCTTGGAGATGGCTGAAACATAACTATGCCTGACAACCTTGGAATCATTAGCTGTGATGATATATGACTGTTTTGAAATGTTTTATTTCTTTTGTTTTATATTGTATGGTTTTGATGCTTTGTTGTTTGCTGCCCTTTGGGAGAAAAAGCGGGCTAGAACTGTAATCCGCCAACCACCGAGTTTTCAGTGAGCATGTAGGATAGGCTTCCTCAACCTCGGTCCTCCAGATGTTTTGAGACTACAATTCCCATCATCCCTGACCACTGGTCCTGCTAGCTAGGGGAGGGCTGAGGTTGAGGAAGCCTGATGTAGTACATGAGGACCTGAAGCAGAGCTTGGGAAAGGGGAGGAGTTTGATTCAGTTTGTTTTTAAATGTGAACTTACCAAATTTGCACTTTTTGAAACAATACAATTCTGTGCATTGTATTAGGGGAAATTGGTTTGCAAAAATGTATGTATTAGGCACAATTGCACACAGACACGTGTGTACATTAGGGGAAAAATCACACACTGAAATGCTGGTGAAGGTTCATGAGGACTTTTACAAAAAGTTCAGAAACTGCTATGGAAAAGTGGAGAACCGAATTTAAGCTTTGAAAAAATGGTAAATTGCATTACAAGGGGTTGTACGAGATGACCCTTGGGATCGCTTCCAACTCTACCATCCTCTGATCCTATGATAAAGGGGGAGAAATTGAAATGGACTGACTCGTCACCATTCCCTAAGCACAGCACAGGGAAATAAGGTTACCCTGTGCACCCTGTCACACATTGCCTGTTCTTTCTCCATACCTTAACACAAAGACTTAGCAAAAACCTGTACATTCTAAGCACAAGCTAATGCATGAACCAAGTGAGAACAGGAAATCCTCAGTCAGCCTCCAAGATTCAAAACTGAACAGGATTGAGGAACAGGGCGTGACTTTTTATGAAAGCAGCGTTCCAAAAAGGTGCAGCCTCAGCTGTTGCCCAACTTCCCTTCAAAGTTTATCTAACCAACCGCACAAACCAACGGTCTAGCATTACTCTGCATTTTCAGACGGAAGCCCTGATTGGCTGGCGCAGAGAAGAGAGCACCATTTGAAATGTGTATAGAAAGGAAACAGATTGCAATGAGGAACGAGCGGAACAGTTCTCAACACCAGCCACGCAGACTCAACACCTTGCGTGTGACATCTGCAGGCACATACAGGGTAGACAAAAGGCAAGAGCAAGCTCTGAATACAGGTGTTGTGGTTAGGGCATTGGACTAGGAGACACCTGAAGACAAATCTACGTGAGGCTCCCCCTGTGCTTGAACCAGGAGCTGAAGTTAGTGCAGAATGCTGCAGCAAGACTGCTGACAGGAGTGAGACTTTGTCTGCATGAAACATCTATGCCAGTGGCGTAGCGTGGGGGGTGCCAGGGGTGCCGACCGCACCGGGCGCAACATCTGGGGGGGGCGCGAGTCCAGAGGGAAGGGACAAGTTCCTTCCTCCGCCGGGCTCCCCGCCGCCACCGCCAGCCTTGCGCCCTAGCGCGCGCGCCCCCCGCCGTCGCTGTGGCTGCGCTCCGCTCACTGCTCGCAGGAGGAGCAGCCGCTGCAGCAGCGCCGACGCCGCCACCGACGCCTGGCCGGGCACGGGCAGCCTCTGCACCCTGCCGCCGCCGCCATCCCCTTGGCCGAGCCACAGGCGGCGGCTGCTTCTGCCTCCATCCTCCTCCGGGCAAGCAGCGTTGTTTGCGCGGCAGCGCCAGCGGCAACTCGCAGGTTAGGGGTTGGGGGGGCGCAAATTACTTGCCTTGCCCCGGGTTAGGGGGCGCAAATTACTTGCGTTGCCCCGGGTGCTGACAACTCACGCTACGCCGCTGATCTATGCTCAGAGAGCTACACGGGTTGGGACAAAGTTAAAGGTGTTAAGATTGGTATATTAAACCCTTATAACTTGGGACTAATTTCCTTGCAAGATTGCCTTACCCCATATGTGCCCACCTGACCACTTTGATCTGGGGACTGGACTGTTCCCAAGGCCCTTTGTAATTACCAACCAAAATGTCATAAATGTGTGAGAGCAAGCTTTTGAGTCCAACAGAATTCTGCACCAGGCTGGATTCTGAACAAAAGTGGTATGTGTGTCTGAGGGGGGAAAGGCTAGCTTAATACGGTAGCCATACTTCTTGCATTTGTCATAAATTTCCTTTCTTTTGTCGTAAAGCAAGGACAGTTTTGTGAGTTGTCTGGAATAGCACCTGCACTGCCGATCTCCTTTGTGGGTGACTCTTTCAGGAACCACATTTATTCCTCAGGGCCCTCCCCCTCTGGCACATACACAGCTGATAATCTAAATATACCATCCAAATAACTGTCCTCTATACTGTTGGGCTTTGGAGCCAATTTCATAATTGGGCCTGAACATCTGAGAGGGTTGGGTAGTCCTTTCTCTTCCAACAAGTTTCTGAAGAAGAGAATAATTGTCAGGAGCATAGCACTGGGTTAAACTTTAAACTGCTGTTTGAATAAGGATGCATTGTTTTATGGCATTTTTTTTAAACCATGCCTTCCCTCTAAGGAGTTCAGTGCTTCTTTTTCGTCTCTGAGGTTGAATGTCACAGTATCAGCTTCTGACAGACCAAGAAACCCCCATCTAAATCCAGCTTCTCTTGTTTCATTATCCATTTCCTTCAAGAACAGTAATGTTCAATTTATTTATTTTTATTTTAAATTTATTTTTATTTATTTTTATTTTTATGCTCAGAGTAGGAAACATGCAGAATGCCACTACAGTCATACCTTGGAAGTCAAGCAGCTTAGTTCCCAAACGTTTTGGTTCCCAAACAACTCAAACCCGGATGTGACTGTTCCACTTTTTGAATGATTTTTGGAAGCCAAACGTCCGATGGGGCTTCTGATTGACTGCAGGAGTTTCCTGCAGCCAATCAGAAGCCGCACTTGGGCTTTCAAAGGTTTTAAAAGTCGAACGGACTTCTGGAATGGATTCCGTTCGACTTCCAAGGTGCGACTGTACACTAAAGCTTGGAAGAGGCATTTGAAATTGGGAAAACAGCACTGGGGAGGATGGGAATTATAACGACCAGATCTCCTTATTGTACCAGACACAGGTCATTTCTTGGACACCAATAAGAGACACTCCAGGTCAAAGCTTGAGGAGCACTGCAAAGCTCTTATCCGCAAAGGTTGCATTTCTCTGGCTAAACCTGATTGGGCAACCAGAACAAACAATGTATATTAAGTAACATACTTGTTGGTGCTTGAACAGGGATAGCATTACCTGAAGAACAAGTATTTATAGGGTGGCTCATCAGTGTTCCCTATCAATAACAATGATTCTGCATGGAGATTTCAGTGAAGCATGTGCAGAAGTTGCAGGTGGGTTACATCTCATGGGGCAGATCTGTTTCCTCTACTCTGCTGCCCTTATTGGCACCCAAAACCAGCCACTTGGAACAGCTCTCACCTTGCCTCTGTCAAGCTGCCTCTAGAAATTGTAATACTAGTACACAACAGGGTTTGCTCAAACGGAGCTCCCTGCACTCCACATACAATAAACTGAACATTTCAGGGGTTAGGAACTATTTTCAGGCTTCCAGGCCACCATCTGGGGGGTGGGGAATCGCATGCCAACAGTGGGAGGGGCCAGATGCAAAAACAGGCAGAAAAAAAATGGGTGGAAAGTTTATCTTTGTCCCATGGGCTAGTTTCTACCACATTCACACACTCTTATCTATCCTCTGCCTAGACAAACAAGAGGCATTATCAGAGTTCAAAGACACATTCCAGACAGACAAAAACCCAAGGAAGGCTGCCTTGGCCCCTGGGCCCGAGGTTCTCCCACCTTTGCTACATAGCAAAGCCACCACTATCACACCCCAAGGCCACCATGTGTTGGTCCCAATGCTAATTTTGTGTCAGGAGAAAGTGGAATAGTTCATGGAAATAAATTTGTATTTAGCACAAAAGAAGCATATCAAACACAATTTCTTTCAATTCAGACTTTATTTCTTTTTAAAGTCACGAACTCAATAAATTACACAATCATTTCTCCTTCCACCCTTTTTTTAATAATTTTTTCACAAAATAGAGTTTACAATTTTTAAGGAAAAGCTTTGAAAGTTTGCTTTCTTTCTGAAGTGCTGATGAGTACCTCAACTTCTTTGTTACGCTGGTGAATTGTTTTGTAGCTGCTACAATAGTTTTGATTTTGGAGATTTTACAAGAACCCAAAGCAAACACAAGCAACAACAACAAAAATCACACACACAGATCTCAGGGACAATTTTTCAGTGGATAATTAATGAACAATCAAGTTAGCATTCAATGCCAAGGGGCTAAGCACCATGAAAGGAGGTGACCTGGTGAGGCCTCCCCAACTCTTAAGAAGTAGCAGTGCATTTGGGCATTAACAGTTTTACTGTACGATAAATATAACTTGCTCTATTACTAGATACTGCACTGTGTCTATGAAGCACATGCAATAATGTATCCAGAATCTGGATTTGCTGAGGATTTGCAAGTGCCAAGAAATTGTACACAGTAATCAGACTAGTTAGGACGTACATGACTGAGAGTTCCTGCTTTTCCAGTCCTCAAAGAAAAGACTGCCAAACTCCTGCAAGTCGTGCTCTTTTTGTTTGAGACATTTTTAAAGGAAATTTGTTGATGGATAAAATTGCAGGAGTGCTTTTCTACCTGCAATATAATCTTGTCTCTAAAGGCACAGGTGGTGCTTTAAAGAGTTTTTTCCGCCTCTGGACATTTACATTGTAACTGCACAGAAGAAATCTGGCTTGTGTATTACCTTTGCATTCAAAGAACAGACATCTATAGGATCCTCAGTTGACAAAATAGACTATAGCATCACACTGAAAGCTGGGCAGACAGATATATGTCAAGTGATACAAGTTGATATTCTCCTGAAGTTTGTCTCTGTGAAATCCAAGATCATTGGAATGACATTTCCTCAGTTATTTTAGGCAAGATATAATCTGCTCCAGTGCCTTTCATGAGGGGGGGAAAGGTCAATTCACACTCCAATTTCCTGGTTGTAGCTGATGGCATCAAGACTATTTCAATTGAGACAATACAGTTATTTTCCCCAATGAAATCAACACACACGCTATGCCAGTTTTCCCTGTGGAAGTTCTATTTACTCATGAAATCAAGGTCTTTACTCCTGTCTGCTATCAAGTCCTGTATATTAATACAAAACAACATAGCGTGGAACTTTTGTTTACCCCGTGCGTGGAGAGCCATGGGCAGAGTAGCCTGCATACCCAAAAACCACAGGGGGAGAATCAAGGTTGCTGAAAACTTCAGAGTAGCAGTCAAGAAAGGGAAGGGCTTTCTTGCAGCGTAAAGGCTTCAGATGTAATGTGGGGCACACAGAGACAGTAGTGAGGAAGCACCAAGGTGATGGAGGAAGGGTATAGATTAGCCTTTGGTTGAGTCACTTCTTGATTCTGCTCTCTATGCATGGATGGAGCTGGCTGGGTTGTGCCAAATGTTCTGCATCTACTACCCAAAAGTAATAAAAAAGTGCCTTTCACATGAGAGCAATAGAATAATCACTATTACTTTGTGCAGAGAACAATGCCCACCCCACCCAAACGGGCAACATTTTCTAGCAAGGAAGAATCTGGATAGTTTGATAGTACACTAAGCTTTCAGAGTCTTTCTTCCACAAAATAAGTGAACAATACAAATATCCTATCATCAAGACCACCACTAAGAAGCGACCAAAAGAACCTCTGCTAAGAAGGGAGGGAGTAGCTAGCATGACTGGTCTCTAAAAGCCAGGGCGGAAACAAAATATGGGAGCCTTTTTCTCATTTGCAAAGTTTTCAGCAGAATTTGGGAGGTTTTTCTGTTCTCCATGATTTACATTTTAAAAAATAAAATAAAATAAAAAATTGATAAAAAGAGACACAATGCATTAAAGGTAACGTAACGCTGGATGTCAAATGCAAAGGATGGGAGGGGGTAGAGAGAGATTTAGCACAAGTCTTCCTTTACCTCAAAAAAATGAACCTGAATGCTCAATGAACTAAGAAGTGCCATCAGACTACCTATTGCAGCCTTCCAAACTAAGAGATTTGCCCAACAGTAGCTTAGTGCTAGAACCAGAGGTTCCCTTTGCATCATATTTGTTTTATCATATTTTGTGCCATCAACTTTTTTTTCTTAAAAAAAAAGTGGAGAATATCTATGATGTGGAATTTACGGATGATCTATAGTCACCCAATTCAATATGAGACAATATAAATAATGGGGACATTTTCGAAAGATGGGGAAGTCAAGTCACTCATACAGACATAAATATATACATGCTTACTCTACAAAGTTGAATAATTTGCATTGCCAGCATGCAAACCTTCTCTTCAATGGGCATTCCAAATTCTGCAGTATGAAACTGGAATGTTTGAAATATTCCTAGAAAGCAATCACTTCCTAAAATGTCAAGTTTCCTGGCCATGTGGATAGCATTACAGCTGCAGCTTGGAAATATACACATATGGTTCTGAAACAAGAACAGCCACCTTGAGCTTTGTTTACAAAAATCAAGAGAAATGCAATGGGGGGAAAATATTGAACCCTGACACCTTAAATTTTGGGTTAAGTCTGTTTTTTGCTTCCACAGAGTGCTGCCCTATTGTTACAGACACAATCCTGACAAGAGTTCAAAGTACTACGGAGGTCACGTGTCCCAATTGCTGTCTTTAAAAGCAATATTAACTAACCGGAGTTCCAACTCAAAAGCGTCTGGGCGATCCTGTGGATTAGCAGCAAGCATTTCCTTAATCAGCTGCTTCATACGAGCATTCATTGTCTTTTTCTTAACAGGAATGAGTAGCTCCATTTTTGGATTTTCCAACAATGCCTCTCCAACAGGTACAATCGCAGTTCCTTGTTTCACATAACTCCCCAACAATTCTTTCTTGGTCTCTGTGTCGATGAAAGTGATCCTTTCCAACATCGCCCAGATTATAATCCCTAATGCAAAGATGTCTGCTTTGGCAGTATAGTGACCTTCCCAAACCTCAGGAGCCATGTAGAAGTCTGTGCCACAAGCTGTAGAAAGAAAACATTTATTCACGTTCACTGGCTCTTCAGGGTTCTGTCCTGAAGCTGAACAAACCTTACTCAGTCCAAAATCAGCTACTTTCAAAGTGGGCTCCAAGTCACTAGCATCCATCCTGGATTGAGAGATCAAGATGTTGTCAGGCTTGAGGTCACGGTGGATGATCTGGTTTTTGTGCAGAAAAGCCAGGGCACTGCTGAGCTGAAGCATAAAGCTAGTATTGGTCTTACGATTAGGCTTTCGAGACAGGAGATATTCATTCATATCACCTCCATCACAGAAATCCATCACAAACCAAAGGTAGTAGGCGCTTCTGGGATCAAAGGCAATTTCACCTTTCAAGGAGGTCTCTACAAGCTGTAATAAGAAAACATTTAAGGAATCTGTTCAGCAAGTAGGAGTCAAGTTAAGAAAGCAGCTGATGAAAAGGAATGCTAGAAACCCATTATCTTTTAATGCACGTATTATAAATTCCCCTATTGTGCTCATCCTTCTTCCCAACTTTCTTCTTTAAACAGTATTTTCAAAAGACAACTGATGCCACCATACATGCATAGGAATCATCTCACCCATTCAACCAACATTTTCCATGGAAGGACAGACTTAATTCTAAACCATAGTTTAGTACAAACTCGTGGTTTGAACTTCCAAACATGCAGACATATCATGGTTTGGAGCTGCTTGTCTGCTTTTATTTTCTATCTGCTCAGCATTCCTTTCTACAGCGCAGGGGACTCTACAGCGCAGGGGACCTCTAGTCTCAGCTGGAACTATGGTTTGTAAACCTACTTCAAAGGATGGTTTCCATTTCTGGCTTGCTGGCTGATTAAAGCAATAGTGTGAACCAACAAACATGACAACAAACCACAGTTAAGTTTCCTTTGATATGGTTTGGTGTACTGTGTGAATGAAGCTACAGTATTCCATTATGAGTACTATTATGAGCATTACTGACTCTGGATTAATGGAATATGTATCCAGTGGGACACCGATACACACTTTCCCCTCCATCTGCATGAATGAATGCCATCAGACCAACCTAACAGAACAATAAAAATGCACAACTACAAAAAAATTAGAGGCCTTTGCTTTTGTTCTCAAAGTTATTTTTTTACTGCTTATTTTACTGCATGAAATGCAGATTGCTGAGCAGCTGTTTTCACAATCTGCTTGACACAAAGCTCGTTCTCTGTCCTTTAAAGGAACCGTTTTTCCTTCTTTAGAATATCAAGTGGGAGGAAGCTAATAAGAATTAACATTAGAACAATGATTTAGCCTATAGAAAGACTTTAAAAAGATGATTAATTTATTTTTTGACTGGCTTTTTATTTTTAATTTTGTTGTTATAGTGCTGTTAGACAACACAACTCTTTGGAAATAATGCAATATGCATTCAAGGCATGGAAAAATGTATTTCATTAGAGTTGATTTGATCATAACATTGCTTAATACAGTGATGACTTTGTGAAGCAGATACAAAATTATTAAAAGGGTTATTAATGCTTCTTTTCCCAGGATGATCCCAACAGTACTTATTGCTAAAATACCACTAACATTCCTGCCATGCAAAAATAATGTTCTTCAATGTTGTGCTGGCACGGCTGTCATTTAAGACTGTTGGGAGACCTATTACTTTTGGACAGCAGGACAGCAGTTTCCTATATCTCACTCCTCTTTCAAGCACAGCCAAAGTTTAGAAAAATCAGTTGTATTTACAATCTCGGGACGCGGGTGGCGCTGTGGGTAAAACCTCAGTGCCTAGGACTTGCCGATCGTATGGTCGGCGGTTCGAATCCCCGCGGCGGGGTGAGCTCCCGTCTTTTGGTCCCAGCTCCTGCCCACCTAGCAGTTCGAAAGCACCCCTAAGTGCAAGTAGATAAATAGGTACCGCTTTATAGCGGGGAGGTAAATGGCGTTTCCGTGTGCTGCGCTGGTGCTGGCTCACCAGAGCAGCTTCGTCACGCTGGCCACGTGACCCGGAAGTGTCTCCGGACAGCGCTGGCCCCCGGCCTCTTAAGTGAGATGGGCGCACAACCCTAGAGTCGGACATGACTGGCCCATACGGGCAGGGGTACCTTTACCTTTTATTTACAATTTCATGCAGGTAAAGGATCCCTGGACGGTTAAGTCCAGTCAAACTAGACTATAGGGTGCAGAGGTCATCTCACTTCAGGCCAAGGGAGCCAGCGTTTGTCCGCAGACAGCTTTCCAGGTCATGTGGCCAACATGACTAAACCGCTTTTGGTGCAACGGGGCATCGCGATGAGTGAAATTCAATGACAGCTTTGCGTACAACTGTTTTGTGTGTTTTCCCTAAGTTTTTGCTTCAGGAAAACTGCTTTTATTAATGTTTCCAAAGTGTCTAACTGTAGTAAAAACAGAAAAGCAAACACTCTACTAAAGAATACTGTAGTATGAACACTTCTGGCATCTGTGTCTTTGTTGTCCTTTACTTCTAAACCACTGTGTTTCTTCCACTACCTGCAACTTCATTTACCTGCAAGTAAAGCGAAGAGCTGGAGCCGTGGGACATCTTCTGCACCATGCCATCTTTTTGCAAAACGCATTCCTCCAAGTGAATAACATTTGGGTGTTGGCTCTTGATGCTGCTAAGTGCCCAGAATTCACGCAGGGCAAGCTCTACATTCTCTGGAGCATGGCACCGAATCTTTTTCACCGCAACACGTGCAGAGGTTTTCCTCACTACTGCTTCATACACCACACCATAGCTGCCACGACCAACCTCCCGTATTAGATCGTACTTTGGCTGGCTACTCACCATCTTCAAGATCAAGGTATCTATAAGAACAAAAAGCCAAGCACAACTAAGAAATTTCTGGCTGATAGATGTCCTACCACTGATTATGCCCCATCACTGCCATCCCAGTGCTATAAACATACACTCTACCCCAACTGTGGACCACACTTCTCAGTTCATTTCTATGCTACTGTGTGGTGGCTGTATCTATTTGTTGATGTAGTAATTTCAGACCACACATATTTTTCTTAGGAATATCTATATAACCCACCCCACTTCTAAACATCTGTTAGTATTTAAGATGGGACAGGACTTTGCACCAATCTTTTGTTATCTTAACTACAGACTGGCAGCTGCTCTTCAGAAACAAAACATTTCAATATTGAAGATGAACATATAAATATACAAAAAACTACAAAACATATATTAAACCAAAGACAGAACTCCCACATAGCATGGGACACATACCAAATATTTTCTATGATGCCATGGTTTGGACAAGAGTAATAATAATAATATTAATAATAATAATAATTTATTATTTCTACCCCGCCCATCCAGGGGTATGATCTTTGGGAAGGGGCATTTTAGTTTATACAGTAGGAGAAACAACTGTCAAAAGCATGTGGCAGGTACAAGATTGTTGACAAGGAGGTGCTTTATTAGATAATCGGTAGGTAATCCTTGGAAACCTATAAAACAAGAGTAGGAAACACTTTGCCCCAGTGGGCCAAATCTTTATCTCCTCCAACTGTGGAGGCAAACTTTGACAGGTGGGAGGGGCCACTCACTTGTCAATCATCTGCAATGATGACATCATGACAACCGTCAGGTGCCTAGAAGATGGGTACTCCTGCCCACCTGTCAAAGTTGACCCATGGGGCAGGGGTGGTGGTTCTGTTTCACCAGCATGTTCTCTGCAGGGAATATGTTAAAGCAGCACCCTGAAGGACTGAACTCTCTGCTCATCAGCTGATAGCAGAGAGTTCAATACTGTTCTCTGCAGTGATCTGCTTCCTCAGCACGTTCCCTGCGGGGATCGTGTTCAGCAAGACTGAGGACTGAACCTTGACCCCTTGCCTACGTCACCCAGTGATGTCAGCTGATTGAAAAGTGAGTGTGGTTTGGGGGAAATGGCCTCATGGGGCAAACTGGACTCCCTGGAAGGCCACAGATGGCCTGTAGGCCAGAGGCTCCTAACCCCTGCTACAAAGCACAGAATTCTGGGTCCACTGAACTACACATACCAATTTGGTTTTGCTCCAACTCTCTTAGCTCCCTATCAGCTAGACTTCTCCCTATCTCCATTCCCCAAGTGTCACTTTGTTTATGTATACTAGACATTGCTGTGTATCTAATGTGTATGCTTTCTCCAAGTATGCCTATTTAGCTGGTAAAAATATCAGCTTCCTTTGTCAGGAATAAATACTTTAGCAGCCTCTGGAGACTCCAGTACCAAATTCCGAGTTTTAAAGATTACATGTTTCCTACATGTTATGAAAAGGAATACACCCAAGGTAAGGATTTTCCAAAATCCTTTCATGAATCTCTAACAAATCACTGTGAAAAGCAGCATAATTTTACCATTCACTGAAAGGCAGCTCTTCCATATAATCTAAATTGAGCATATCCCTGTTTTAACCAGTGAAATAATTCAGCAGAACGAGGTCGCGGTTCCATCCCTTTGATTAGTTATGCAGAAGGAGAACTACAAGCAGTATATCTTACATCACTCTTTCGCAGCCTGGTGTCCTCCAGATATTTTGTACTACAGATCCCATCATCCCCTTTGACTACTAGCCATGGTTGCTGGGGCTGACGGGGAGTTGGATGTCTGAAGCATCAGATTGGGAAGGCCAGCTTACACCATCCCTGCATAACCATTAAAAGATACAGGCACCCAGATTTCTCTTGCAGAAGTTGGAAGATATACAGAGATGACACTGCAGCTCACCTGCAGCAGTCTGATTCTATTCAACAGGTTAGTGTGCACAGGGCTAGATCCACGACTAATTCAAGCCCCCATAAACCTACTCTACGTAAGACAAAGTCTGGATCCAACCCATATAGCTGCAGCCTCGTTTGCCATGTCAGTGTTTTCAGCCAACCTGTAAATGGCCAAAAATACTTGTTTGCAAAACACATTCTTCACACAGGCATAATGAGAAGAAATTGAGGACTGCTTTGGGAGCGGATGGGTGCCCCTATATATATAAAATCACCTGGAGGAAAGCCTAGAAGGAAGGAAAGAAAGACAGCACCCGGCCTGGCCTGCTCCTGCGCCTTTAACAGTCGCTTGCTCCAGAGAAACCAGCAGGCAAAGCTTTCCAGCAGAATTATCACCTGGCAATAGCCGCAAAAGCAGCAGCTGATTAGGAGACAAAAGCAGCCCGCCCTCCGCCGGATGCAAAAAAGTTGGTGACAGACCTACGGAGCTGACAGCCAGTGGTCAACCAGCGATGCCATTGCCGCTAACCTGCAGCACTGAGCAGGTGGCCGTGTTTACTTCCGTATCATTAAAAAAAAGAAAGCTCACCTGCTGATACCCCACCTCCCTTAAAGCGACAGAAGGCCAGGCTAGGACAGCTTGTTTCGAGCTCCCTCCCCGCCCAGCCCCTGGAAAGCCAACCCGGGTATTCGTCACGTAACGTGTGAACCGGCGCTCCGGACACGCGAACACTTCCGCAATTTCCCACGACCGCCTTCCCAGGACAACAAGAAGGCGTGTGAAGGGAGCTACGAAGCCTGCCGGGCGTCGAGCTGCCTGCTCCGAGCGCCCAAGGCCCGGGACGCTAGCTCGGGGCTTCCTCGGGCCCAAGCCGCTGGGACGCACAGGGTTCCTGGCTCGGCCTCTAGGGCCTGTCACGGAGCGTCCTCGGAGCTCCGGGCGCCGCTCCCGTGCCAGGACTCGGCGCCGAGGCCCGAATGTGTCAAACATTTACCTCAGAGGCGCCGCGGCGTTCTCTTCTCCTGGCCGCCATTATCAGGCTCCCTTCCCCCCTCCTGCCGCCGCCGCCGCCGCTTCTCCCGGGTTCGCCGACACACCCCCTTCTGGGCCAGCGCGCGCAGGCGCGCACCCGCGCCAAGGACAGAACGCTTGCGCGCGCGCGCACAACCAGACAGACAAGCCAGGCCGACACCAAACTCACCGCCCCCTCTTTTGATTGGCTGCTGAAAACGGAGAAATGGGGCGGTCCGCCTGCTTTCCCTTCGCAACGCGGAGAGCGCGCGCGCGCGCGCTGCTTCTCATTGGCTACTGAAGCCGCAGAGCCGGTGCTTCGAGCTCCTGTCTCCCAACCTGCGCTGAGTTTGGGCAACCTCGGGTTGCTCGCGGAGCGAGAACGGGTCAAAGTCCGCTAGGGAGAGTTTGGGGGGGGTGTTTTTTCAGGGGGGAGGGAGAGATTGCATGCATTGCGTGGAACGTTGCTGCAAGCAAGCGGCATTCGTTGCTACGGGTTTTGCTTATTTTTTTAATGCTGTATTATTTCCCGTGCTTTATTTGCGAGACGTTTTATTACGGCTGCTGCTATTCACTGCTCCTGTCTGATGATGATGATTATTAATGCGGGTTGCTCCTGACTTTGACTAGCACGCTTCGTATATTCGGGATCGCGATGCGCAGCTTTGAGGAGCGCGCTGACGGGCTTGCGCGGCAGCCCTTGTACCTTTGGCAAAGCGGGGGAGCCTTTGCTTAGCGCGCGGCGTGGGAACGGGCATGGAGCATGAGAGCTCCCTGCTAGAGGACGGGAAGCGGCGGGGAGACGCGAGCCGCTTGCCGTTGCGAGAGCGCAGCCGCCGCAAACCGCGTTAAAGCGTGCGAAGGAACGGCGGGTTATGCACCGCTTTCGAGGCGGCTCCTACAGGCGATTGCGGAGAAGTGCACGGCGCCTGGTGAAGAATGAAAGAGGTTGCGCAGAAATGGGGAGCCTATCTGCACGCACCGCCACCCTTTCCTCCCGCCACCCCCACCTCCCAAATTAGGTGCTGAGGCCTATTTGCAATGGTGCGCGATAAGCCACTTGTCACCGCTCTGCTCCCGGCTGCCTCCTACTTGCTGTCTTGCCCCCTGCAAAATACCTACCGTAGCTGTCATCCAGAAGTCTTGCTGCTGGAGTCCCCGCTGGATTTTTGTGCATTTCTCATATTTATTTTTCTTCTTTCAATTAGATTGCTAGCCAATGTTTTCTTTTGTTGTTGTTGCTGCTGCTTAAAAAAATTGGAATCTCTTATTTGTCTGCCTTTCTTAAAGAAAGGAAGGAGAGAGGAAAGAGTCAGCTGTCCTTATATAAATAGCTTTTGCAACGTGAGGAAGCTTAGTGACACCTTTTGTTATCCCCCCTCTCCCCACCAGGCCATGGGACATGCTTCTGTGGCTGCTGCAGACACATGAAGGTTGCAATCTGATGGTAAGATCTTTCCCACCCCTCTCCTCCTGAGAATGGAGGGCTGTTGGTATCTTCCCTTAAAGGGACACTGTCTTCCCATTTTTCTCTATTAAGGGAGAATGAAATCACTTTTATCTATATGGCATATGGCGTGGGGGTGGTTGTCTGTGCTTCAGGGAGAGGGAAGATGAAGTGCAGCTTTGCAGAAGGACCTGCTGTGGATTAGAAGGGCTCACCTGTCAATTGCAGAAGGATCCGCACAGACCAGTACCTCCATTGAATTTCCACTGTAGAGCTACTTTGGAGCAGCTCCACAACTCTTTAACATCAAGTGTGCAGCAGCTGTGAAACAGGCAAATCTCATGCTAAGGATCATTAGGAAAGGAAATGGAAATAAAACTGCCAACATCATTATGCCATTATACAAATCTGTGGTGCGACTTCATTTGCAATACTGTGTACACTTATGGTTGCCTCACCTCAAAAAAGAATTTGTAGAGCTGGAAAACACTCAGAAAAGGGCATCCCTTAGGCCATGGGTAGGTAAACTAAGGCCTGGGGTCTGGATCCGCCCCATCACCTTCTAAATCTGGCCCGCAGATGGTCTGGGAATCAGCATGTTTTTTCATGAGTAGAATGTTTCCTTTTATTTAAAATGCATCTCTGGATTATTTGTGGGGTCTGCCTGGTGTTTTTACATGAGTAGAATGTGTGCTTTTATTTAAAGTGCATCTCTGGGTTATTTGTGGGGCATAGAAATTCGTTCATCCCCCCCCCCCCCAATATAGTCAAGCCTTCCACAAGGTCTGAGGAACAGTGGACCATCCCCCTGCTGAAAAAGTTTGCTGATCCTTGCCTTAGGCCCTTTTCAAAGAGGGCCAGATTTTTTTTGGATTTTACCCCTAAGCCCCCGAAACGGACTCTGGACATTCCTGCCTTAGGGTGACTCCCCAATGAAGAAAGGTTGCAGCGTATTTAGTTTGCAGAAAAGGTGAGTAAGAGGTGACATGTCATGTTTATAAAATTATGCATGTCATGGAGAAAGTGGATAGAGAGAAGATTATCTCATAATGCCATGGACATCTATTGAAGCTGAATGCAAGAAGATTCGGAACAGATACAAGCTGTTATGTGCAGGGCATAGTTAAAGTATGGAACTGACTCCCACAAGAGGCAGCGATGGCCGCTAACCTTTAGAAGAGGATGAGACAGATTCATAGGGGAGAGGGTGATCAAAGTCTATAGCCGCCATGGCAATTCTCTGCCTCCACTGTTGCAGGCAGTAATGCTTGTGAGAACCAGCTGTTGGAGACCATGGGGGGGGGAGAATGCTCTTGGGCTTGAATCCTGCTTGCTGGTTTCCCACAGGCATCCAGTTGGCCATTGCAATAAGTTCTTAGTTCTAGCTAAGTTGGGAATGCAAAGGAGTCGTGCTTGCTCATTGAATCTCTGCAGGAGAAAGAGGCAAAGGGAAGATGTCTCCTCTGCAGAGGTGAGTTCGAGAAGGAGGAAGTGCAGAGATGAGGGCAACAACCCTGAGAAATATCAGTCTAGCACTTTGGGAGAGGAGAGAGGTCAGCACAAATTCGGTCAGAAATGGAGGTTTCTTCCTGTTTTCTCCCCATGCAAAGCTCCGTTAGTCTTAAGACAAGCTGAGTTTGCATCCCAACATTCCAGTATGGGATGAGTGCCACAAAATCCCCATCCTTGGTCTAAAAACGTGATGCAGCAGCATTGCTATAGCTAAGCAGGTCTGCTTGGTCCTTGGACCACTTGGGAACTACGGTAGAATATAAATGTAATGGATGCATCTAAAAAAAATCTGCTCTATTAAAGCTTAGGCAGAAAAAGTATGAATTTTCGGCACTATTTCTCAGCTCTCTTTATCCATACTATGGGGACAATACAGCTCTGCCTAAAAGGCTTATTAAAATAAAAACAAGGGAAGCATTTTGAACATCCCAGCATCTAGATATAGGGGCTTAATTATTATTTTTTGTCCATGCTATGCACTTACATGTTGGAAACGACATGTATCCTGCATGTATAAATGATCATGTGAGATAATTACACACCTGCATTTTGCTGTGTGCTGTGCAGTGCTAGTTTCATGTTACTTTTCATGCTTACAGGGCAATCCTATGCATGTCTGCTTAGAAATATGTCCTGTTAAATTCAGTGGGACCTAGTCCTAGGGAGTAAATGTATCTGGGATGGGTTGGGATCCTGTGGCCCTCCAGATGTTGGACTACAGCTCCCATCACCCCCAGCTGACATGGCCAGTGGTTGGGGGTGATGGAACTGGAGTCCAACGACTTCTGGAGAGACGATGGTTTCCCGCTTCATATATAGGATTACTGTCTAAGCCAGTGTGAGCACTGTGGGACTTAGGCGGTATCTGCATTCCCATTTACTTTGCATCCAGTGTGCACTCCCACCCTGATTTGTGAGCCAGTGTACACAAGGTGATAGCCTCTACCCTGTATCTATCCCATCATTTCTTATGGTATTCTGTGGTTTGTTTGGTAGTTTGAGTGCAACTCAGCTGGCAGAAGAGGGGCTTGCATGAAGTTTGAGCAGATAGGGCAATGCTATTTTTCTGTGGTTCCAGAACTCACCATGAACACCTCCCTTGTTCTCTTAGAATGGCCATGGCCAAGGCGTGAGTGGTGCCAGAACTGAGTTCCTATGAGTTCCCCCTGGGGAAAAGCCCTGGTCGGGGCATCCAGGTTCCCTAGACCATTTTGTATTTTGATTTCCGATTAGCTTTCCTCTTACCTTCTGTTGTTCAACTGATATGTCTTAGGTTGCACCCTGCTTTACAGATTCCTGCCCCTCTCATACTTTTCTCTTGCACCTCAAGATGAGAGGTCACACTGGGACTGTCTTCTGAAAGGACAAAGCAACCTGCACGATTGCATTGTTCTGCTATAGGCTAATAAGCTAAACTAGAACCAGAAACTTTCCTATCCAAATGTGTATTTCCTACAATAAAATGCTTTATTGTTTTTCCTTACCTATAAACAGTGCTTTTTTTCAGGGGAATTTCAAGGGTGCCAACACCTCTTTTTTAGTTCTTAAAAAGTGTGCCACTTCTTGAAACAACTTTATGCTGAGTACCAGCACCTATTTTTCTAGAAAAAAAAGCATTGCCCACAAATACATCTGTGTGTGATTGCAACAGGTAAAACTCTGGGCTCTAACCACTCCCTTGACGCTGCCTCACCCCACAGACCAAATGGGTTCCAATAGGTAATTGGCAACCAAATCATCCAATATGTTGATGCCCCCCCATCCAATATTTTGATGTGTTTCCCCACAAAACTATCTTCGATTCAAATGGAGATAAAGAACTACCTATCTGGGTTTTAAGCTCATAACATGCACACAGCCTTACTCGCAGGTTAATACATGTTGCGCTGTGAATTACATTCTTAGTAAAAACCTAGTGTTGTCACCAGCTAAGTTTTACTCCAAGTAATGGACCAAACTTAGTCATGCCCATTAATTTCAATCTTTTACACTGAAGTAATGGACCAAACTTAGTCATGCACATTAATTTCAACCTGCTGAGTAGGAGAACGTAAGATTGGATACAACTCTAATATATGGTGTTTAGCCATTTGCTTATCCAATGGAGCAGCGCTCAGAGCCGTTTTAGAATATGCGGATTTCAAAGTAATTCTGGACATGCTGTCAGCAAGCTTCTCTCTCCTCTCCCCTTTGTAGATCCTCAAGAGGCACACACACAGCACTCAAAAATAGTCACAGCAGCTGTTAACAGAGTGCATGGTGGGAAGGGGAAAAACCAGGAGTGTTTGGGGGTTTGTGTGTCAGGAGGGGGCGCCTTGTAGCTTCAGAAAGAGCCCTTTTCCCCACCAAGCACTAGAAAGAGCTGGAGCTCTGAGGTAGGCGAAATGTTGCTTCATAGTTCCTAGAAGAGGATGCTGAAAACTGTCCAGTCAACAGAGGATGATGAAAAAGAGAAAAGAGGGCACTGAAAAATCAAGCAACCTACTGGTAGAACTGATCACTGCAGATGGTGACAGCAGTCACGAAATTAAAAGATGCCTGCTCCTTGGGAGAAAGGCGATGGCAAACCTAGACAGCATCTTAAAAAGCAGAGACATCACCTTACCAACAAAGGTCCGTATAGTTAAAGCCATGGTTTTCCCAGTAGTGATGTATGGAAGTGAGAGCTGGACCATAAAGAAGGCTGGTCGCCGAAGAATTGATGCTTTTGAATTATGGTGCTGGAGGAGACTCTTGAGAGTCCCATGGACTGCAAGAAGATCAAACACATCCATTCTTAAGGAAATCAGACCTGAGTGCTCACTGGAAGGACAGATCGTGAAGCTGAGCTCCAATATTTTGGCCACCTCATGAGAAGAGAAGACTCCCTGGAAAAGACCCTGATGTTGGGAAAGATTGAGGGCACAAGGAGAAGGGGACGACAGAGGACGAGATGGTTGGATGGTGTTCTCAAAGCTACCAGCATGAGTTTGACCAAACTGCGGGAGGCAGTGGAAGACAGGAGGGCCTGGCGTGCTCTGGTCCATGGGGTCATGAAGAGTCGGACATGACTAAACGACTAAACAACAACTGGTAGAACTTACTGGTAGTTATAGATAACAAATAATTTCTACACAAATCTCTAAAATTGGGTGGGAAGGCTTTTTCAGCCCAAGGACCACATTCCCTTCTGGACAACCTTCTGAGGGCCACATACCAGTGGGGTGGGTGGGGCCTAAAGCAAATGTGGGTGGGGCAACAAACACACATTTCCCTTTTGTCCAATAGGCTAGTTTCTACCAGAGGTGGACTTAGCAGTGCAGAGCCTTGGAGACTCCACAACTATGATTTACAATGGAGCGTGAGAGGCGGAGGTGTTCTGAATTTTGGCTTTGCAAAAAACCCTGCTGAAATTGGAGACCCCAAGGTCTGCCAAAGCTTCTAC